GTTGTTATTTATTTTATTTATTTATTTATAATTCAATTTATAGCCCGCCCTCCCCTAAGGCTCAGGGCGGCTAACAATTGAGGCAAAAGCCATAATTCAAACAATTAAAACGAGATAAAAACGTAACAATAGTACAACAAAGTGCTGGTGCTCTGAGGTTCCCAGTTCCAAGAAGGGTTCTGGTAGGGTGGATCCGGACCAACGACATAAGTTCCAAAGCGGCAGATAACCAGTCTTCTTCCCAGGACTCGATTGCACCCTGATGGTATCTCTGCCAATTTTGGGCAACAGTGCATTGATGGAACAGTAGCGGCGGCGGCTCCGACTCGAAAGCCTGGCGGACGAGCTCCATCTTGCAGGCCCTGCGGAACTGTGCAAAATCCCGCAGGACCTGGATCTCCTCCGGGAGCTCATTCCAAGTAGGAGCCGCCACCAAAAAGGCCCTGGCCCTAGTCTCGGCAAATTTGACGTCTCTGAGGCCTGGGGTAGTCAAAAGATGTTGGCCCCCCGACCGTAGTGCCCTTGGGGGAACATATGGGGAAAGGCGGTCCCTTAGGTATGCCAGACCCTAACCATAAAGGGCTTTAAAGGTAAGAACCAGCACTTTGAAAATGAAGGAAATAAATGTTGAGAGTATTGTGTACTTTGCAGCTCTTTGTAAATTTCAGCTCATGCTTGGGAAACAGCTATTATCAAATAGATAAAAAGCTCAGAGACACCGAAGCTATAAAATCGTTGAATGAGGAATCAAAAGGACCAAATCCCAGCTGAATACGTCCATTCAAAAATCTGAAAAATACACTTTCTCTAACGGACCAGGGAGCTCTCCGAAATGAATAACGGTGGTAGAAACACGACTATAAAATTAACTCACCAAAAATATAACTTACTACGTAGGACCTGAATGTTGTTTGAGTTTGTTAATTGACAACAGCGGCTTTGGAAAACATAACTTCGTTTTCTAAGCGGATTTCTTGTTTCTGTGCTGCATCTTCAGAGTCTTCATCTTCAGCTACATTGGTTTCAGTGGGGGAAAGCACAATCATATATTCTCCCATTTTAAATCTGTAGGGCAGCTGTCCTAAGTAACGTGTGAACACTATGGGTCTTGGTGCTTGGAAGAAGCTTAACTGACATTAATTGATCCTTGCGTACAAAATAGGAATTTGAACCTAAAAGGGCATCATTACGAAGTGTTGTTCATGATGACAGCTATCAAGGAAGACTTTGTGTTCTTCCGCTGTCCCTCTTCCCTCTCTCCCCATGTGGCGCAGAGATTGAAGATTTCTGGTTTGGAATAACGCGTGATATGTCTTGATTCTCAAGCAGGGTGAAATTATACACTCTGGATTGTTTGCCTGCCTACAAACTAGGATTCTAAACCAGCTGAATCCTGGATTGCGAATGAGAGGAGAGTCGATTTATTTGATATGACCTGATGCCAATGCCATGACAAATGACCATTGGTTGTCTACTAAGAAGTCTTCAGTCTGAAAGCCGCCTTATCCTGAATCAGATCATTGATCCATCAGTGTCAGTGTTGTTTGCTCAGACTGGGTTGCTCTCCAGTCTCAGGCAGAGGTCTCTCATATCACCTACAACCTGAAGATGCCAGGGTTTGAACCTGGGACCTCCTGCAGGCCAAGCAGATGCTCTACCACTGAACCACAGCCCACTTGCCCTATTTATCAGGGTGTGTATGCATGCATGAGTGTAGGGGATATATGGTACCATATGTAAACAGCTTTTGAAATAATGGTTATGTTACTGTCAGCAGAGCTCACATATCAAACAGTTAAACCTTTTATCAGATGAAGCTAAAAGCTCTATGAAGGACGGTAGCTAATTTGCACATTGTGGTAAATGTACGTGACAACTTACTGAACCTGCTCGATCGATGCCAAAGTAGTTTGTAAACTTGGTAAAGATGGACTGTGTCACCCCTAAAGTGCGGAACGCTTCCTGAAAGTTGCACACAAATGTTGTTGATTCCAGGTGGACCCTGTGCAGCATTAGAACTGTCCATAACCAGAAACCTTTTCCACGGATGCTCATAATGATGGTCTGATGGCTTCATCTGCAAAATGATTCATAATTGTTCTCTTTGCCTGTATTCCTTAGAATTTATAGAAGGAGTCTCCCAGTTCAGTGTCAAAGGTGACAAGGAGCAGAAGTTGAGGTGTAAGTATCGGATGTGTATATATATTTTTGGGCATACACGGAATACCAGGCCTTGGTTGGATCTACCAAAGAATTGGCAGGGTGCTGGTGGGGAGCAGATCTTTTCCCCTGGCTCGTGTTCCTTGTGCAGTCGCCCGTTTTGTCCTGAGGGATCGGGAGAACCTCAGAAGTACCACATGAGTGCCGGGGTGGGTGGGTGGCGGCTACAGCAGTTATGAGGGATGTAGTAAAATCTCCTCTGTGGTCTCTTCTGCTCAGAAGAATTAAAAAAAGCTTGCTTTTCTTGATTCTCATACACTCCATCCCACCCCCCCGGAAGTGCAGTTCTTCATAGAGGAGTTTTGGCACAAACGGGTTGGCTGCTCGAGGAGCAAGCAAGAAAGTGAGGGAACGGCCACTTTGGTAATACCTCCCATTAACCGTTCTGGTGGATCCATAAGAACATCAGAGAGAAGCCAATGTTGGATCAGGCCAGTGGCCCATCCAGTCCAACACTCTGTGTCACACAGGGGCCAGAAATACCAGGGGCCATCAGGAGGTCCAGCAGTGGGGCCAGAACTCCAGAAGCCCTCCCGCTGTTGCCCTCCAAACACCAAGAACACAGAGCATCCCTTGCCCCAGACCAAGAGTCTTACGCCTTATCCTTAATTATGTTACTATTCACTAACTCTGTATTTGTGAGTCTTGAAACAAGAGTCCAGCGGCATCTTAAAGACTTAACATTGATTTCAGTATGAGCTTTCATGGGCGACACAAAATTGACACGTAATATGTTTTCTTGGAAGTGAATCCTGTTGACGTACTGATGAAGATACAGTAGTATTTCTGAGCTGATCTTGCCTCTTCCCACGTTGAGGGCCGAAGTGCTAGAGCTGCTGTAATAGCAGTCATTTTATCATAAATTTCTTTGTGAAGTCCGAGCCCGCTTTAATTAAGGTGCTTGTAGTGAGCAGAATGAGTTGGCCAGATCAAAGCATGGGTTTGCGGAAAAGTGCATTCTCCGTTTGTTCTTTGCCTCTTCCTTGTCAATAAAACTGTAAACTTCCTATTGAGAACTGGATCCAGTTAACGAAATACACACACACACACACACACACACAAGAAGGGGGACCCGCGATACTCGCGGGGGTGGGGGGAGGAGAAGCTCCACCGAAGGAGAAGGAAGCAGCTGCAGGTGAGCCTTCTCCCCTGCCCCCTGACCTCGACACCCACAGTGAGGCCCACACCTCTCCAAGCCTTCTCCCTCCTCCCCCCCCCAACACCGGCAGCGAGAGGCCTGAATTTGGCCTGCCGAACTTTCTCCCCCCCAGTGGCGGCAGTGGCGGCAACAGGCCTGAGCTTTGCCCGCTAGACTTTCTTAGCCGCCGGCCCACTGCAGAGGGTTTTTTGGGATTTAAATATACCCCCTATATTTCCCCCCCATCTTTTTAGATTTTTGTGCACATCTGGGGACTGCCCCAACTGTGCAGGAAAATCTCCCTGCCCCCCAGGTTCCCCCGATGTGCGGATTTAGATATCCACACACAGGGGGTGCCTTCGCTATTAGATATATAGATAGATGGATGTTCAGCTTCTTGGGCGTTTGAACTGTCCACGCCAGCACATCTGGTTTTTGTTGGGAAAGGAGGTGTCCTCTTTTTGGGTTGGAAGGTTACCGTAGGAATGTTCCCAGTTAGTAGCAGTTACCAGAGCTTAAATAGGAGGGGTATTTAAAACCCAAATTGGGAAAGTAGTGGGCATTTGGGGGTGGCCTCTGAGGATGGGGGGAGCTCAGCCGCTGTGCAAAGCCATGGAGATCACCCTCCAAAACCACCCCTTGCTCCAGGCGATCTGACCCCTGTAGTCTGGAGATCCAGTTGTGATTCCAGGAGAACTCTAGGCCACACCTGGAGGTTGGCAACCCCGTCTTATACCCCAGCTGAAACTGCTGCAAAAAGTATCCCCCCCCCAATATCCCCGGTTAATATATTTTGGGGGGGGGGCCCGCAGGGGATTTTTAAATTGCATTTTACTATAAAGTACAAACAGAAAAAGGAAGGGGAAAAAAGAAGGAAGGGAATCTACATTCTGATAGACAAAGTAAAGAAAGCCCTCTAAAAACCCAAGAGATGGTGGTCATGCATACAGTTTACAAAGTTAGCTTTAAACTCGGATATGCTAAGAAAAATTTCATTGAATATGATCATCTGCTTAATATTTGAATTCAAAGTCTCTTAAGACATCACCATAGTTGACTTCATAAAGATGAATGCAAGAGTAAATTCAAAAAGAAAGCTGAAAAAATTCCAGAGTGCAACAACAGTCTATTTTTTCTCCTTTCCCACCCTCAAAAGGTAGCTTGATTTTGGGTTAGGGTAAAAAAAAAAATATCCCCGGTTAATTAATCAACTACACCTCGAGTTGATTAATCTATTGCAGTTGCACACTGAGTCGACATTTTCAGTGAGTTATATACTGTGACACCAAGAGCACTCTCCTGGTCAGTTACCGCCAGTTCGTACTCCATCGGTGTGTATTTATAGTTGGGATTTTTGGCTCCAGTGTACCTTTAAATTTAAAACGAGATTTGTCAGAGGGATCACTTGTTTGAAGTAGTAAGTCGGGAAATATGGCCTGTTTTTTTTGCTGTTCAGAATACGGTAGCCTTACATAAGAAGTCCCCTGCCGGATCAGACAGGTAGTCCATCTAGTCCGGACTCTGTCTCACACACAGTGGCCAGCCAGTTCCTGAATGGACACACCCAGCAGGGATTACCTGGTCTCCCACCTGTGAGTTTGTCACTAAACTTCCCCCGATGCCTTTCCCTCCAGTTGCCTTCCGCATCTACGACATGGACAAAGACGGCTACATTTCCAACGGGGAGCTGTTCCAGGTCTTGAAGATGATGGTTGGGAACAACCTGAAAGATACTCAGTTGCAGCAGATTGTAGACAAAACCATAATAAATGCAGATAAAGATGGTGACGGAAGAATATCCTTTGAGGAATTCTGTGCTGTAAGTACCTTTTCCTATAAAGGGACTCATGAGGTTTTTCATATAGGCTCCTCCCTTTCCCCCCACTTCCCGCCTTCCTCTTTTTCAGGATGTGGTTGTTTCTCAAATCATGTTTACTGCAGGTTGACCCCTCTTTTCTTCCCTTTCTCTCAACTTTGCCTTTGCTAAATGCCGAAGTTCTTTACAGAATACCTCAGCTTGATTTCGGCTTGTGGCTGTTGTCCACGGTTACTCGCCATGCTGGTTTTATTTTTTTAATTTTTTTGTGGTCCTCCTCCACTTTCCTTCCCTAATACCTTTTAAAGTAGCCCTTGGAATCGTTGACACTTACCTTTTTGAGGTTAATGTGGTCTTGTGTGGATTCTGTTTCGATGGGACGCCATGAAAACGACCCCAAGATTAAAGATGCCGCCAAAAAAAAAGCCTGTGTATTTATTGGGAAACTTGATTTGAGAGAATCGTTTAGGTTGTAAGAATTAAGGAAGAACCAGGGGTCATTTCGTGCAGGAGCGCATGTTCCCAGCAGCCCTCAGTCAGAGCAAGAAGCAGCCAAGTAAGTTGCAGAGCCCATCCCCCGGCCCCCCGGCCCAAAACAGTCCAGTGACACCTTTAAGACCAAGTTTTATTCAGGTACAAGCTCTCCCTCCTCTGCGAGGAGAGATCTGCACGTTCCCCCAATAGCTAGCAATCCAAAAGAGTCCAGTGGAGCCTGAGCGGTGGGTGCTGCCATCTGACACACTTCCGGTGATGTCAGGGGTGTGTGGCATATGCAAATAAGTTATGCTAATGAGCTCCTGCACCTCATTTTCTACTAAATGACCCCTGGGAAGAACTATGCTATTCTTCTGTTCACTATAGGGCATAAATGGGGTTTCTAAGCCAACTGTATTATCATTATTGTTGTTTTTGTTATTGTTAAACTGGACTTATTGATCACCGATCCCGACTTGCGCCGGGCTCTGGGCGATGTACAGTATGGCTGGGAACAATATACAAACATCAAATATAATGCAACTAATAGCATTAAAACCAGTTTAAAGCAAATTCAAGATGGCGTTAATCCGCTTAACTGAATGCATAATTTAGACACATGCACCCTTGTTAAATCTGGTTACTCATTTTATTTCTGGTCGCAAACCGGGTTGGATATGGGGGGTGGGGAGGCAGATTATAAGAGATCCTGGCCTGTTGCAGACCCGGGATTTAGCCCTCAGGCCGTTTTGGGTGGTGGTGGTCGTGTCTCGTCTCCAGCAGCAGCATTTTGGGGAGATCGGTGGGAGGGGGGCGGTAGGAGAGTTCATCTCTTTGCTGCCGAGGAACACCCTCCATTAGCAGAAGGCATCGCGGGGAAAAGGCAAACATCAGACCCCCACCACCACCACTCCTCCACTGTCTCACTAATCCTCATGTCATTCTCGCATAACCCTTTCAGGTTGTAGGAGGCTTAGATATCCACAAAAAGATGGTGGTAGACGTGTGACTCTTTAGGACACCACCCGACACTTTTGCTTTCTTCTCCATCTCTGAAGATCTGCTCAAGACGTCCAGCAACGCTCTCTGTGTATTTAAATGGAAGTATTTTTTTTCTCTGTGAAGCCACATTTTTTTCCAACATGAGCCTCATGAAGCCAACTAAGTGTTATTGAACTTTTTACTCTCTCAATAACTCCGTGTAGCACTTTAAAAGTCTGAAGGACAGCAAGATGGAAAGAGCATTATCAGTGTGGTGGAGAAAGGGAAAAGGGGGGGGGTTGGCCTTTTAATTTATTTTTTTTCTCCTCATCTTTTATAACAAGGAAATATCTATCTATATATATATGTGTGTATTTATATATAGATATATATGTAGCTTTCTATATGTAGTAGCTAAGTGGACTTTAATTTAATATACTTGATTCAGAAACAAAAACTAGAGTACAAAAGTGCCAAGCGGAACATTTAACAGTTCAATATATGGATATACATCTTTACTTTTATGTCACACAGTTTTATATATATAAGTAGAAGAATGTAAAGTTTTAAATGGTCGTTAGGTCAGCTCTTTCCTTTTTCCCGTGATTTGTTTCAGGCATCTTAACCTAGCGACTGGCCGAGAAAGCATTGCCTCCTGTTAATTCACCTTAATATTTTTTTGTAAGACAGGAAACGTAACGTTTGTTTGTGTACCTTTTGATCTCTTTACCAGGGACTGCATCTCCGCTCCATAGCTTCCAAGTGTAATTCTATTTACTAGTATGAGAATATGTAATGTAATGTTAATGCCAAGAACTAGTCCTTGTGTGCAAATAGGATTTACAGAATGTCGATGGCCATTTCGTCCTTCTGCTTAGTAAATGGGTGCAGTTGTACAAAAAAAAAAAGATATCCCTGGGAAAGACCAGCTGCCACCCAGTCAGTGCAGATAAATGCATTTGTTTCTCAGCACTTAGCGTCATTAAGAATTTGGGATGAACCAGGTGATTGTGTAGGATTCCTGGTGCACAGCAGCACTATTTTAAGACAAGCAAAACAGAAAACCTCTCTTGCCATTAAGTAACGCTCCAGCCGTTATAATTTCCCCTTGCGCATTTAACGTAGTATCACAGGTTGGATAAATAAAACTGGTCATATTTTATATATGTGTATATATGATTATAACGGATATTACGGGGGAAATGTCAACCTCTGCCATAGGGAAGGAGGAAAGCGTCACATTATCTAAATTGATACCTCTTGTTCTTCTGCAGTTCTTTGCTTGGAGAATTTCTTTTTAGACTTGTCCATATCATGACTCGTAACAGATAGCAACTTGATGTGTGATATAAAAGTAGCGAACTATGTTCTATACGACTTTATATCATCCCTTTCCTTTTCTGCAATTGGTACTATTGGCTGGAAGAAAGATTCACATTAAGACTTTTTTTTTTAGGATAGCACACCCTTTCCTCTACAGCAGGTTTTTTTTTTCCTAATTACTACGTCAACAGCAACAAAAAAAAGGATTTTTTTTTTGGGTCGGCAATGGAAAAGGCAGGCTCTACGAATGCCAGTCGGTCAAGCAAGCCCGCCTGCCGTTCGCTGTTCCTTCAAAACTGAGTGCTGCACACATCGTGGGCTCTGTCCGTGAGAAAACCCAGGTGCTTGGTGTCCTTGCATGACATGGAGTTTTGCATGTAGATCGATTTGAAAAAGCAAAAACGAAAACACGTTCCTCTTGTTTACATGATTTGCATAATTTAAAAGACGAGATGATGTTGCCAAACTTTTGGTAAATGTTTAAAAAACAAAAAACAGAGAATCTCCACGACATGTTAACTTCCTTCCTCTGGATCAGGACGTGGCTCTCTAATCCTGGCCAGTGGCTGTTCTCGGCTCCAGTGTCAACTGCCATGCGCGCGCTCTGCTTCAAGGGGGGAGCGAAGTCTTTTGTGAATTTTTTTTTTTTTGTACATAAGGATTTGTTACAAAACATTTTAGCAAATGCTTTGTATTTCTTAATGGCTTGTGCATATCCTGGCTGGCGTTCTAGAATATAGTGCTAACATTACTTTCTTGTGGGGGGGGATGAGATTTTTTTTTTTTTTTAGTTTGTGTGTGGAAAATGGGTTATGTCGAATGTTTAGTTTTTTTTCCCTCTGCATGCTATATCATACATGGTTGGAACTATAGGAACCTTCATACTGTATGAATAAAAAATAAAAAATATTTGAACTTTACCCTGGCGTCTTCTCATCTTTGACAAAACAGGTATAATCCTAAACTAAAAAAGTGTATCGTGTGGTTATAATTTAAAAAAAGAAAAGAAAAATACAGTTATGGTGTGTAAGAAATGTAACATGTTGCTACAGAGTCACTGAACATATTCTGAAACCTAGCTTAGGTCTTATTTCTCATTAGTGACCCTTAAAACTAGACAGTTAATCCACAGAGTCAGTTTGGTGTGGTGGTTAAGAGCGTGGACGCTAATGTGGGAGAACCGGGTTTGATTCCCCACGCCCCCACATGCAGCTGCTGGTGTGACCTTGGGTCAGTCACGAGTTCTTTCAGAGCTGTTCTTGAAAGAGCTCTCTCAGCTCCACCTACATCACAGTGTGTCCGTTGAGGAAAAGGAAGGTTGTAAGCCATTCTGAGACTCCTTTGGGTAGAAGGGTGGGGTATAAATCCAGTCTCTTCTTTGTCATAACAGTGAGGGACGGAAAGTGTCTAAATGGGACAGTACCACAGCCTCTGGTTTTAACACGTTTGACTAAAGAACCATCTTTTAACTTTGAATATTTAGAACCATATCCATAAAGGTAGTATACTAGCACTTCCTTAAGCAAGATTCTACTGACAGTGTCATCTGTCGTGTTCAGAATTTTGCACTGAATTGTCTTCCTGCATCTCTGATATTCCTCAGCAGATGCACAGAAAAAATTGGAGGAAATTTTTTCCCAGGACATTTGCAGAACACTGGAAAAAACTGAAATATTTTGACTTCTAGGAGGAGTTAAATGCTTTTAAAGACAAGGTGAGCCTGCTGTGGATGCATTTCTGCGCCTAGGAGAGACAGCTCTGAAAGAATTTATGACTGATCCAAGGTCACACCAGCAGCTGCATGTGGAGGATTGGGAATCAAATGCGGTTCTCCCAGATTAGAGTCCATCCTCTTAACCACGACACTGGCTCTCAGAAGAAAGGAGGCAGCATCTCCCGGGAACTACATCTAGCTGTGCAGATATTATTATTGATCCTTTGTGCTACCTGTGTCTTGATCAGATAATGTATCTTTATGTTGCTTAAGAAGTATGTGGAGTTTTCTCTTAAGCGCTTGGCTACATTTGCAATTTGGCTTGTGGCAAAAAACCCTAAGGCATTCGTAACTTTTAAACTCCACAAATATTTCAAATACTGTGATTTCATAGGGTAGGTTACAAGTTACGCATTTTCTGTGAAAGCAGTAAAATTAGTTCAGGTTTGATAAGACATTACTCCCCTTGTCTGGCGTAATGTTTCAACATTTCCAAAATTTTTACGTCTCTAGCCCAAGCACAAATCAGCATGTGATCACAGATATTTTGCTGAAGTGCTTCACAGCTGGATGACAGGTGAGCGCACCTTTAGCTTGCAAGCGGTGCCAGCACTGGAGATGGGTACTTTTATTCTCCCGCCGATACTAGCTGGAACATAGCTATTTCAGATGCTTTTCTTATATTGACATTTACTGATCTACCCGAGCGTTCTCCAACTTCGATTTATAACTTCTTTTGAAAGATCAGAGCTGATCTCCCCAGTCTGTAGACCAGTTGCAGTTCTGGGAAAACGCCGACCCCTAACTCCAGCAACACCCTGTTTTTAAAATGCTGGTTTTTCACAGTCCTGGCCTGCATGGCCCAGGCTAGCTGGATTTCATCAGCTCTGGGAATCAAAGCAAGGGCATCCCTGGTTAATACTTGGATGGGAGACCTCCAGGGAAGCCCAGGGTGACTACGCAGAGGCAGGCAATGGGAAACCACCTCTGGACATCTCCCCCTTTGAAAATCCTACGGGGTCACCATAAGACAGCTGCCGCTGTCACCAGTATATAAAAAAGTAAAAGTTTCCCTTACTCGAAAGCCAGTTGAATCTGACTCTGGGGTGCAGTGCTCGTCTGTTTCCGAGCCGAAGAGCCAACGCTGTCTGAAGACTTCTCCGTGGTCACGTGGCCGGCGTGACTAGACACCGAGGCGCACGAAACGCTGTTCCCTTCCCACCGAAGCGGTACTTATTTATCTACTTGCAGTGTCTTGCTTTCGAACTGCTAGGTTGGCAGGAGCTGGGGCCAGAGACGGGAGCTCACTAGGGTCTCGAACTGCCAAGCTTGCAGCTCAGTGTCTTAACCTCTGAACCACCGTGGCCCTGCATTGACCTAACAGGAGAAGCAACAGATCAGAAACTCCGTTTTGTACATTCACTGTTACCACGACACAAACTATCAGTACATCCCCTTTATTAGACAGAAATCCTCTTTCAATAGATGAAACCGCCAGGCCAGCCAAAGATAATCTGCCCCAAGTCTCTTCTACACATCAAGTTGCTTTGGAAGGGAATGTTACTATCAGCATCTTCCCAGGATGACGATTCTGCAAACGAGCCATTTCCCGGACTCGGCGTACAAGGAAACCCCGTTGCTTGAATCGTAAGTCTCAGAATCTCTCTGCCGCCCTGCTGGCCACTGCTCGGACGTTGCCGTACACCTTTGACGGGGGACTTCCTGGAGAAGAAAGCCACATGTTAATACAGTGAACGAAAAGATCCGATACGTCGAGGTTTAGAGGTTGCTTATGCGTAGGACCTTAAATGCAGAATGTCTTTTCAGAGGCATAGTTGCAGAAGCTCAAGTGCTGGGTAAACGAACATGGTAGTCCTAATTTCAGCTCTTAACGGCCTGGATCTGAAGGTATTGTCACGCCAGTGAAACTGCAGTTCCATTGGTGGAGATGGGGCAGATGATCTTCTTTTACCAATTTCCCCCTCCCGCTGTAGATTCTCGCTTGACAAACCCCCCCCCCCCCAGTAGCAGAATAGGGACTGTGGCAGGGAGAGGGAATCCCACTCCGTCAGCTTCGCTTGGCTTGGGAGCGGTGTTCCCTCTAAGCTGAGTGAGTGTGAGCGAGCTCACAGTTTTTTGGCCTCCGGCTCAGCCATTTTCGTCTCCACTCAGGAAGGAGGGCTCCAAACTTAATTTATGCAGCAGCCAAAGCACTCACTCACAACTTTGATGCCGGTAGCTCAGAAAGTCGAATTTTTGCTCACAAGACTCCACAGCGTGGAG